TCTGCAGCACGGTTAACTGCATCGAATCAGTCCCATCCCACACTTCGAAACTGCCGTGTTTTTGAAGTCGAAGCTCAGAAATTTAACGTATCTAGACTAACAGTACTCATTGACTGGGGGGAGAATCGGAAATATGGATGTGCACAGTGCGGTTACGCATGGAAGATCTAAGCCTTCGTTAAATGTACGAATTACTTCTCTGTAACCGTGATTCGACTACCAGATTCACACATGTAATGTACAACGATGGATGCGATCAATAAAAAGCTTATTGGAGCCAGTAGAAGCAATATCCATGGATGCGTGTGTTTAAGAGTGTGTGTGTGTGTGTCTGTTGTAAATGTCTGTGCGGATGACAGCGGAGTTTTCCTGGACGCGTGACGATAGACGGATTTGACAAAATGCTGACTTCAGTGTGTGTGTGTGTATGTTAGTGTGTGCACGCTCGAGCGCATACAAATGTGAATAAAAATCCGCCCCATTTATCAGGGAATTTTCAGAAAGAAATTAGGGAAATTGCAATTTTTTCTGCTGGAAAATGAACGACCTGAAGCCACGAGCCAGCTTTTCACAGCAGCTGTGCAACCAAGAGTTCCCCTTGGCCTAAACAACAATTAAAAGGTTTCCCCTGAAAAAGTAAAACAAACCTAAGGCCTGATTGCGATCTGATTCACGTCCATAGCCAAGAATGTAACGAATGGTCAAGATAAACACATTCATGAGAATCGAGTCACGGATTTACCCCTCTGCAATACCTGGGGGTTGTTACACTCGAGAAATGTGTACCGATGGGTGATAGATGTTCTTTAATATACAATGACTGCAAATAATGAATGGGATGGGATGGGGGGACGTTTGAATTGCAAATATTTGACCATGAAAAAAATGGTCAAATAAACCACAGGAACCCTTGCGTGTATACATTTTAATCGGTTTAGAACAATAATAATAATAATAATAATAATAAGAATCTTAAGGCACATTTGGTGATACAAGCATGGTCAAAAAGATTTATGATTGTCTGGCTCAACAAGAACAGGAATTTTATTAAAAGAAGCAAACACGAAAACAAAATGAGAGGAAGTTGGATGAATAATTTTTCCTCTTACGCCTATCAAAAGGGAACGTTTCAAAGAAGTTTCATGCAAAAGGGGACAAAGAGAACCAAATAAATCTTTCATCCTAGGTGACACTTACATATCCGTAGTATGCACATTATTTTTGTGTTCTACGGGGGCGGGGGAGGGTGGGGTGGGCGAGGGGGAAGGCTCGAATCTCAAACGTTTCACTTGAGAGCCGGATCTCTTATCCCACAACTACATGCTCGATGATCAATGAGGGTTGTCTTAGTTTTGGGGAATTCCAAAACGCCGTAACAGAAAAGCACAAACGTTGCACGTGGCCGTGTGCATTCGCCCGCGATCAAAGTAAAACGATTTAAACTTTTGAACTGTAAAGCTGCAATATATATATATTCTTTATTGGATTGGTTGTGAAAGAGCTGTCTATCCAATGGTTACCCGGTGCTGCAAACAAGGTTATTGTGACGAATATACACTTCCTGGGTACAATTATCTGAATAAACTGACAACAGATTGCCGGATACGCATGCCTGACGAGCGTCAAGAATCGCGAAACCGGTTGTGTGCTTCCAGGGAAATTTTGTCGAGTCATTCATATACTACTTATTATGCAATATATATATCTATTTATTTAACACCGGCTTGAGAACCACATGGTGCCAACATCACAGCAGTATTAACAATAACAATAACCTCGGATGAGGGGTAGGAATACAGAGTATAGGGAGAGAGACATAACTGTCAGAATGGAAGATTACGATTAAATGAAATAACAATTTTTTGTCTCACCGTACACTGTTTGAAATATTTTTGTGATGTTTGTTGCTTTTATGGGGGTGCAAAGTCAAGGAGAACAGTTATTTTGATCCGGTCAATAGATGATGAAGTTTGGAAGATTTCCCCGACGGGGTAGCAACCACAGAAGATTACTACTGAGATGAGTATGGTGAGATGCCCTCTGAATTTCTAACAAACATGAGTATTGCTATGGGATGTATGTGCGAAGTGAACAAGTTCAATCAGCTACCCAAGTGGCCAATGAGTTATACGGTTGCGTTCTACCTATGAGGTGTCGGGTTTGACTATCAGTTGTATTACTGGATTCATTTTACGAATCAAATCAAACAGGCTTGGAATAATCATACCGGGTTCCTGGATTTCCAGTTCACTTTTCACTAGAAGAAGTGGATAATGTTATTCCAACAAACCGTGCCCGATTGTATGTGATTTGTGGATGTCATCACACTTTCACATACATAATCAGTACAGATAGACGGTGGTATAGCTTTGATCTGGGAAAAATGAAGGGAAAACAAACGATTTACACAGCTGGGGAAAACTATGTACGCAGTTGGATAAAAGGTATCTGAAAGAAGATTAGGTTTACACCTGTTCTTTGACGTTGCAGATAACTTAAGAAGAGTAAAGGAATCGATTCACCTGGCTTGGTCTCATCAGTCTTTTGGGACATCCATCGACCAAATTGACGGTAGAAAGCAGGAACCGCATAGATCGAGTGTAAGCAAGCGTATTGCTCATCAGCGCTTCAGTTTTTACTTCATTTTTTGTTCCATTCACAACGAAATTCGCAGTATGAAACGGTGATTAGTTATTGTATTACTTCATCTCTTATCAAGTCATGACAGCGGTATCGCTGCATTATATGTTCACTTAATAAGTAATAATAACAATAATAACGGTATATCTCACGAAGCCCGTGAGGCATACCAGTACGCATCATCAAAAAGTGATAATGAGAGCGTGGTGAATGGCAAAAGAAGTTGTGAAACGAACACTCCCAGGAACCCTAAATAGAACATTCTACGCGGTGCCAACAAGGGTAACGTTCACATCCCTTCGATTGAGAGACAAACGGCGAGACTATGCTGCCTCAGTTTATATACATTTATTTATTTATTCTTGTGGAACTGGGCAAAGGGGCCAGCAGGCCCAGGCACTTGTCCGATCGAGTTTGTGAACACCACTCCGGAAAGTTTGAACACAAGAACGAGTGCCGTGTGTTTACACCTCATGTGATACACGTGTTTCTTCCTATTTGCCGATTTGGAAATAAACAATCAAAAGTAGTCCAGTGCCTTAACCGAATCAATCTACCACGGTGGTCTGAGAAACAATTTGTGCAAGCGGTTACCCATCCCGGGGTCATTTCATCCTAATGAACAAGTGTGCACACTTGAACAATTCACGCTGTGATCAACCACACACAAGAACACACACACAGTAGAAGTCAGATCAAAGCCACGCAATTGCAACCTGTGAGTTCCCTGTGATACGGCAGAGCTTATTTAATATGATGATGTGGCCGGATTAGACGGCTTTGATATTTGCAAGAGTGATCGGATTGTGAAATTTCGCAACAGAGGTGGCGGAGTGGTCACTTGCGTAAATCGAAGTTGGTGCAAGAACATTCGTTTGACTTTTTCCCTATTCAATAAGTAAAACTAACTTCTGTTTGCTGCAAGCCCCGCTTTCTCAGCAGATTTCGCCTCATTTACTTTGTGGATATATATATTTCCCCTGATACACTCGCCCTCAACTTAAGACTATTTTCTGATTCTGTACTGACACAACTGTATTACAATTTTATTGACCAGTCGTTATGTATTACCGCCGGTGACTTTAATCACTTTGATACTTCCCTTCTAACCACTCCAGGCTTAGAGAACCTTGTCAATTTTCCAATCCCTACAAAAATGCTCTTCTTAATGGCATTTGTGTAAATAGTCCCAATCTGTTTCACGTTTTTAAACGAACCCCAATCAGTACTTCTGACCACTGTACCATTCTTCTTTACCCCAAAATCTATTGTAAAACGAATCACTGCCTTCATACACGACCCACCTCGTGTACACTACCGAAGAGAAATTGTTCTCCTGAGAACTTGTCCCGACTACGAGACTTAGTTTCTTCTACTGACGTTTCTGTATTCTTCCATAACCAGGTGTCTTCTTCTTGTGAACACCTTACCGATTATCTAAATTTCTGCTATGACCAATGTTGTTCTGTTGAAACTATTTATATTCGAACCGATAGGTTTTCCTCCCCCGGTCTTAGGCGACTTCGTCGTGCTAAAGAGACGGCATATATGGACAGCAGGCGTAACAGTGTCCAAGAGCTCTCTGTTCTGATTAGAGCAGAAGTAAGACGCCTGAACGGCATGTACGTCGAGACTGTTTTCGGCAACAAAAACATTCGTGAGATGTGAACTACCTTGCAGAAACTCTGTGGCTCACGCTTCAGTTCTTGTCCCAACGTTGGGGTACTTAACCGTCAACTTGTTTCTGTACCTGCATCTAGCTACCTCCTACCTCTTTTTCCTAACCATGATGCAATTAACCCTGTTTCTCCGGACGAGGTCGTCCAAGATTTGAGGAAACTCAAGGTCAATAAAGCTCATGGTCCCGATGGATCAGCATCTCATTTGTTGAAAACCTGCACCGACCAGCTTACGACACCCATTGCCAAATTGTTCAGTACTTGTTTATCATCTGGAACGATCCCCGATTGTTGGAGGTCAGCCCGGATCAGACCAATCTCAAAGAAAGGATCGTCAAAGTACCGTCCTATTGCCTGCACATCTGAGTTGCTGAAGGCTTTTGAAAATGTTTTGCTGCATCGCATGATACCCGAGTGTAACTGTCATAACCGTTTAAAATTTGCTTATAAACCCCATTTATCGACATTTGGCGCCGTTGCTCATATTGTTTATTCTGTTGCTTCCGTCTTAGACAATGGCGCTGGTACCACTCGTTTAACTTTTCTCGACTACATAAACGCGTTTGGTTCTCTCGACCGAAATGTGCTTATTGATCGTCATTCTGAGTGTGGTCTAACTCCTGAAGTCTTGAACGTAGTAATCAACTACTTCTCCCGTAGGACTCAGTTTACTTCACTCAATGGTGTACCGTCTTATTCTATTAGCATTGGAGCTGGTGTGTTTTTCAGGGTGCCATTTGTCACCTTTCTTGTGTTCCATGTATATACAAAATCTGTCCATTCCCGACAACTTTATTGCTTGTAAGTTTGCTGATGATATTGTGATTGATTTCCCAGCCCCTATTTCAGACAGTTTTCGACTTCGCCAGGACAATCAGTAAGTGCATTGAAGTTCCATTCAGTCTTAAAACCGGTCCCCGTTATCTTCCATTAGTTGATAATCTCCCTGGTCTTAGAATTAACAATCGAGGCATTCTCAAATCTGTATCTGTTAAATACCTTGGTGTCACCCTTACCCATAACCTGCCCTAGTCCACTCATGTCATCAACGTTTTCAAAAGTTTCGAAAACTGTCTTTGTATGCTTATAGGCTCGGGAAAATGGCCGTGCCACATAATCTTATTCCTAAATTTGTAATTACCTGCATTCTTTTACACCTGCTATACTGACTGCTCCCCGATTTTTATCCCTTGACTGAAGGAAAAAGACGTCACCTTATTTTCAAGATCCCTTAAACTTTTGTCCCGCTAAAGTGGATTTGATAGAGTTGCTTTAGTTGATTTCTTGATTTCCAAGCATCTTGACACTTGTGATGCATTCACTGACAGGATAACGCATGACCAAGGGCACTGTCTGCACCAAGATATCGCAAAAGCCCTGTCAATTCCTCGGACACGCTCC